CACTATTAATACACTTTATCTTGTTGAATGATACACTTCATCTCATTGAATGATCATTCATGTTTTTCCCCAAAAAGTGCCACTTTTTCTTTTATGCACTACCAATCAAATATTATCTACTTTATAGAAAGAACGAATAATGGATTACTTCAAGTTTGGTCAACATTTTCAAAATTAGTACCAGACATAGAATAAGATAGTACCAGTTTTATGGTGTTGTAGTACCAGATATCGTGTCTTTGGTTCCAACTACGACAAACATAAAAAAAACCGAACTTCGGCCTCAAACGAAGTTTATTATCACTCTCACGTTAGTTTCTATGAGATTTAAAATGTGTTTAATTAAGTTTAATTGCAAATTGGTCACAAACTCAACACATTAATGAAAAATCCAACTAATACACTTCATCTCATTAAAACACACACACTTCATCTCATTGAATGATCATACATGACTACTCCAAATTTTACATATATGTTTTAACTTCCACTATTTCTCAACCAAATCATGCGTGAACGATCCACGTGGCAAGGATTAAAGAAATCACGATTTTTTAAAATAGTACTTGTTTTAGCTAATATAGTACTGCATCTTCTTCTACGTGGTACAAGTTACTGATCAATTAGTACAAACTTTTAGTCCACAAAAATTGATTATTCAATTGTGGTCAACATTTGCAATAATTGGTACCAAACCTAGAGTAAGTTAGTACCATCTTTCGGTGTTGTAGTACCACTTATAATGAACACATAAAAACACCAAATTTCGGTCTCGAATGATGTTTATATGAACCATAATCACTCTCACATTAGTTTATATGAGATGTAAAATGTTTTAAATTGAGATTAATCGTAAAATGGTCATAAACTCTACGCACTAATGAGAAATACTACTAATACACTTCATTTCATTGAATGACACAATTCATCTCATAGAATCATCATGCATGACTACTCTAAATTCTACCTATATGTTTTAACTTCTACTATTTTTTATCCAAATCACGCGTGAGCGATCCACGTGTCATGGTAGACATGTAGGATTAGAGAAATCACGATTCTTAATATAGTACCTGTTTTAGCCAATATAGTACTGCATCTTCTTCTACGTGGTACCAGTTACTGATCAATTAGTACCAACTTTAAGTCAACGAAAATGGATTATTGAATTGTGGTCAACATTTGCAATAATTGGTACTAAACCTAGAGTAAGTTAGTATCATCTTTCGGTGTTGTAGTACCAGATATTTGGTCTTTAGTACCACTTGTAATGAACACATAAAAACACCGAATTTCGGTCTCGAATGATGTTTATATGAACCATAATCACTCTCACATTAGTTTATATGAGATTTGAAATGTTTTAAATTCAATTTAATCGTAAAATGGTCATGAACTCGACGCACTAATGAGAAATCACTACTAATACACTTCATTTCGTTGAATGACAAACTTCATCTCATAGAATTATCATACATGACTACTCCGAATTCTACCTATATGTTTTAACTTCTACTATTTTTTATCCAAATCACACGTGAGCGATCCACGTGTCATGGTAGACATGTAGGATTAGAGAAATCACGATTCTTAATATAGTACCTGTTTTAGCCAATATAGTACTGCATCTTCTTCTACGTGGTACCAGTTACTGATCAATTAGTACCAACTTTAAGTCAACGAAAATGGATTATTGAATTGTGGTCAACATTTGCAATAATTGGTACCAAACCTAAAGTAAGTTAGTACCATCTTTCGGTGTTGTAGTACCAGATATTTGGTCTTTAGTACCACTTGTAATGAATACATAAAAACACTGAATTTCGGTTTCGAATGATGTTTATATAAACTATAATCACTCTCACATTAGTTTATATGAGATTTAAAATATTTTAAATTGAGTTTAATCGTAAATGGTCATGTACTCGACGCACTTAAGAGAAATCACTACTAATACACTTCATTTAATTGAATGACACACTTCATCTCATAGAATCATCATACATGACTACTCCAAATTCTACCTATATGTTTTAACTTCCACTATTTTTTCAACCAAATCATGCGTGAACGATCCACGTGTCATGGTAGACATGTAAGATTAGAGAAATCATGATTCCTAAAATAATACCTGTTTTAGCCAATATAGTATCGCATCTTCTCTTACGTGGTACTAGTTATTGATCAATTAGTACCAACTTTTAGTCAACGAAAATAGATTATTTAATTGTGGTCAACATTTTCAATAATTGGTACCAAACCTAGAGTAAGTTAGTACTATCTTTCGGTGTTGTAGTACCACTTGTAATGAACACATAAAAACACTGAATTTTGGTCTCGAATGATGTTTATATGAACCATAATCACTCTCACATTAGTTTATATGAGATTTAAAATGTTTTAAATTGAATTTAATCGTAAAATGGTAATGAACTCGACGCAATAATGAGAAATCACTAATAATACACTTCATTGCATTGAATGACACACTTCATCTCATAGAATCATCATACATGACTACTCCAATTTCTACCTATATGCTTTAGTTTTCACTATTTCTCAACTAAATCACGCGTGAACGATCCACGTGGCATGGTGGACATGCAGGATTAAAGAAATCTCAATTACTAAATGGTACCAGTTTTGACAGAAATGGTACCACTTCTTTTTCTACGTAGTACCTGTTTTTAATCATTTGGTACCTACTTTTGGTCAGCGAAAATGAATTACTTCAATTTGGGTCAATATTTGCAAAAATTAGTATCAAACCTCGAGTAAGATAGTACCAGTTTTTGGTGTTTTAGTACCAGATATCGGGTCTTTTGTACCAACTCCGACGAAAATAGAAAAAACAAAGAATTTTCTTCTCAAATGACGTTTATATGGCCCATTATCACTCTCACGTTAGTTTCTATGAGATTTAAAATGTGTTTAATTAAATTTAATCATAAATTGGTCACGAACTCAACGTACTAATGAAAAATCACTACTAATACACTTCATCTCATTAAAAGACACACTTCATCTCATTGAATGATCATACATAACTACTCCAAATTCTACCTATATGTTTTAACTTCAACTATTTCTCAACCAAATCACGCGTGAACAATCCACGTGGCAAGGATTAAAGAAATCACGATTACTAATACGGTACCAGTTTTGAAAGAAATAGTACCACTTATTTTTCTGTGTAATACTTGTTTTTAATCAATTAGTACCTACTTTTGGTCAACGAAAATGGATTACTTCAATTTTAGTGTCTTATATTGGGTCTTTAGTACCAACTCCGACGAACATAAAAAAACACTGAATTTGGTCTCAAATGATATTTATATGACCTATTATCACTCCTAGAGTTAGACAGTACCCATTAAATGGTAGTTTAGTACATGATAGTACGTCTTCAGTACCAATTCCCATGAACATAAAAAAAAAACACATTGAATTTCGGTCTTAAATGATTTTATATTACTCAAATCACTTATATACATTAGTTTCTATGAGTATTTGAATGTGTTTAATTATATTTCCTTGACAAGTGGTCATAAACTCAAAAGAGTTTTAGTTTCGAAATTTTATCTTTAGGTAATTTTCATTTTATGGAAATAAATTTGTCTTTTAGTTTCAATATAAAAACCGCATTTAATTGTATGCTTTGTATTGACACATGTACATGTTTGGTTTCAGGCTTGAGAATTACCATAAAATGTTTTATGTTTTTTTCTTCTCAAACTATCATATACTACTCTTACTCTTATTT